TGTTTGGCCAAGATAGCTTAACAGCTTCGGTCAGCATCTTTTGTGCAAACATATGCGGTTGATACAACCGAATGCTGATCGCCTCGACAGTAGCAAGGGTGCGAAGGCGCAAGCCTCTCGACTGTAGTGGAGGGTATCTCCATAGTATTCGAAATACATGTATTGGGTCAACCTCATGCCCACTAGTAATAAGTAGGGAAGAAATGATTTCCTTGGAGGTTGTATCGCTTTTCACCAACGTGCCGCTTTTCGAGACGATCGAGTACCTTTGCTCTTACATGGAAGAAAATAAAACAAGTATGTGCATACCGTTGCGTGACTTGAAAAGCCTCCTTTTGCGTTGCACTTGCAACATACACTTCCTATGCATTGGCACTTACTACCGACAAAAGGGCTGGTGTAGCTATGGGATCGCCGTTGGGTCCGTTGTTAGCCGATCTCTACATGGTGGAATTAGAGTATACCAAGTTACATGCGGAGATCGCGGCCTTTGAACGTTGCCATCGCTATATGGACGACATATTTCTCGTGGCCGACCAGTCCGTTGACCTTGACGCTGTTGCCGACCGATTGTTTGGGCTCACGCACAAATGCAATTCACCTACGAAAAAGAATTGAACGATCAGTTGCAGTATCTTGATGTGCTGTTAACTAGAAAGACAGACGGCCCGATGCAACATCTGGTAGACAGGAAGAAAAGCTAGAGTGGCCAGTATGCGGTGTTTCACAGTTTCGTTCCGTTGAAGTATAGGCGAAACCTAATTCGCTGTCTAACCTCAAGGGTCCGCATGAACTGTTCTGAAGACAAGTTGGATAGTGCGTTGACATTCATTCAGAATTTGCTGCGCGAAAACGGATATCCTGCTTGTTTCATTGTTAGGAACATGCAAAATAAGCCTGACCGGTTGCAGATTCAGACAGCAAAGAAAAAAGATGTATTCATATGACTACACATCAAGGGAGACGCCGCTGCTGAGCGTGTAACTAGAAGTCTTTCAACAGCTGTCAAGTCATCTTTCCAAGCAGTCAAGCTTAGATGTAACTTTTCAACGGAGCCACTCATTCGAATTCACAACAAAGACAAGTTACCGACGCTGACCGCTTCTATGGTAATTTATCAGTTCGAATGCGCATATGGCGCTACTTACATCGGTCGAACGGGGCGACAACTGTCGAAACGCATTAAGGAGCACCTACCACGCTGTTTGCGTCAAAGCGATACTGGGGCTATAACTAGCTCTGTTGTGGCTCATCTTGTTACTAGTGGGCATGAGGTTGACCCAATACATGTATTTCGAATACTGTACAGATACCCTCCACTACAGTCGAGAGGCTTGCGCCTTCGCACCCTTGCTACTGTCGAGGCGATCAGCATTCGGTTGTATCAACCGCATATGTGTGCACAAAAGGTGCTGACCGAAGCTGTAAAGCTATCTTGGCCAGAAAAAATGAAGACTTCCGAGGGCAAATGTAATTGTGCAACAAAACCTTTGTCCTAGTTTATCGTGGGTTGCTGGTTCATGCCCTTGGTCTACACGTGATCAATCACATTTGAATTGATCGTTAATCCACTTTTACGCCCATTGCTTTTTCACTCATATGATTGTACGGGTCTGGAGATGACTCATCAAGATTCTTGATTGTTACGGTGCATTTTTGATATTTCATTCATATTCTTTCTTACAATAATTCAAATGGTTATTCCGCTTGGAACTTTTTTCCTTTATAATCTGTTTATTGGAACAGTCTTTTTCAATCTGTAATTGCAAGTTAACTTTTGCGTGAATTCCAAAATGCCTTTTTATCAATTTTGCAGCTTTCCTAATCATCCAAACTGTTAGAACGACAGAGAAAGTCAAAGTGGCTATGCTTTCATTGACGAGGCAAATGTTAACGGAAATCACGTAATGTTTTCGAGACCCAGCCAGGCACATTCTTGCACGCACATTTTATCTGCTTTTGCTTATTACCTTATCACTCATTCGGCGATAGTTGTAAATGAATCAGCGCTACGATCCGGGAGCATTACCTGGGTAAATACAAGTACGATTTGATCAGCGTGCATCTTTTTATATGCACACTTCATATTTGCTCTACACTAATAAGTGTTTTCTCTTCTGCCCTTTAATTTACTGCGGCAGTTCTTAGCGACCTGCATAGGAAATTTGGGACATTCTCCTTTTTTGATCACTAGCTTGTGCTAGAAGTACTTTAGTATTCTTCTTAGCCATCTCCTTTTTATTGAAGACGTCTGGACATTATATTTTTTCTGTGACCCTAAGTTACCTTTTGTTGCGGATAATCGTCAGACATGAGCCTTTCCTTCATTTTTACTACTCTTTCATACAATTTAATTTATTTTCCTATTTAATCTATCTCCGAGATCAGGAGCACCATCCGCGCTACACAACTCACTCTAGATTACTAGCCTCCTTACATACATTCTCTATCTGCTCTCCATCGCGAACTCAATGTCACAATTGCGTATCTGATGCAGAATGAACGTGAATGCGCGTCACGTACGCTCTCTACACTATAGGAGAGGAGGGGGGGGGGGGAGGGTGGGATGAGAGAGGGAAGTGGGTGGGGGTTGCTCTATTATCAATAGCGGTGACTGGCGCACCACAAAGGGAGCTAGACAACAGAGAAACCTCGCAGCCAACAAAATTCAGAGCGGAGATTTTCCAGACCTCACTCGCTGCGCGCCTCTTAGCGATTGAGATTCTACAACTATTATGACATTATCAAGGAGATACGGTTCCGACACAGGTCACAGTCTCTCTCACTATCAACGGACTATCACTTCACTCCACTGACTTGCTCTCTTCCGATAGTCAACAGCTGACTACAGCATAGTCTCGAGTTTCAGCGCGCTCATCACTCTGGGCTCTTCCCACTTATCCCTTTATATACAGTAGTTCTAGTCGATTACACATCTCAGTCTGCGCGCAGCTGACTCAACATCTACATGAGACTCGTCCACGATACTCTGCTTTCACATCTGAGGCCTACCGTTCATCTTTCGTTCCCGTGCCAGCAACGCGATAACATCTGAGTAGCACCCTACTGAACACAGAGTACACAGGTCCAGCGGATTTCGGACATAACCTCTATGACACACAGTTACGGAATCACAGAGAGTTAGCAAGAACGTGCTTCACATATCTAAAGACAGCGCGCACTCATAGGATGCCTAGAGAGATCATGCACAAAGCCTTTCTATTCCTTGTCACGTCTAACTTGACACGCGAATCTCGGGCCCAAGTTCATTACTTAATGAGACAGCACGGTCCAAAACTTAGCTATCAGATGTTCTGACTCAGCATCTCTATATCACTCTAACTAGCGAGAGTAATTTGTGCATGTGTGTAGGGGGGGTTGGAGGTGGGGAAAGGGGTTCTGAGGACTCATCACAGATCGAAATCTCTGACATCCACCGAGGTTAACATACTTCAGATGAGCAGAGATACAGAGTGCGTGTGTCACACATCTCATATACTGAGGATTGGATATATGATGAGCACTATGGCGATCAGTATATATTCTAGTAAAATTATTCATTACAACTATGCGTTTATGTCTATATCTGCTAGACTGAGCAACAGGATAAATGCGGTGTACTCGTGGTGCTATGTTCTAGCAGGTTCTATAAGTAAACGGTGACAATGAATCATAAGGAGTGATTAGAGCAGAACACGAACTGATACAACTATCCTAGGCGATGATGCTAATCGATAAAGTGATCGCTGCCCCTAGTCAAAACGAGATAGCTCTTACTCAGAAAATCGTCGAGGATGACTCTCACCGTGATAAGGCGACTAAGCGCTCGATCGAACATTAAACACTATCAACTTTAGATCTGGCGTTCTCTAAAGTCCTACACTCTTGATAGTCACACCAACAACAGATCTTCTCTGTCTAAAATTATGTCAATACTATATCTTATGATGGTTGTGGGTGGAGGAATATTAACACATAACATGTGCTTCTGTGTGGTAGGGGGGGGATTGGAGTAAAGAGAGAGTGAGTAGCATAGTATAGGAGAGACTAGAGGTAATCGCCTAGTCTAAACTCGACGTATTAATTAATTGCAGACGTGATTATAAAGACAAGTACAAAATGATTCCGACATGGACAGTCAGTAGATCGATGTGAGAGTTAAATCTATAACTCTAGGCAGTACGTACGTATGAAAGTCTAGAGCTCCATCGAATCAGTCGCTTATCTATTCTGAGTTCTTGATATTGAAATGGACGCAAGACGTGAGAGATACCAGAAATCATAACATCTCTACAGATCTAGTACTACATCGAGGATTATAGCGTAGGAAACAATGGAGGAAATTTTGAATCGACATCAGCGTCACATCTCTACACTCTAGATCGAGTATATACTCTCTTGATAGTCTCAGTCTATCTACTGCTCAGCACATCTATTATACACACTAAATAAGTAGAGGATCACTAGCAGTCGATTGCTAGCATATCTATCTACTTCTCTTGTAGAGAGAGTGTGGTGACACTATTTGAACGCACTTATACGCTTGAATTATCTCTCAGTCTATTATCTCTATTATATCACTTTATATGGTGCACAGTGATGATACAGTGAGTATCTATATCTCTTATCAATCTCTCAATATACACATGTGGTAGGGTGGAAGAGTTTATCGATTTATATATGTCTATTTGAGTACATACTGTGGTTGGGACACAGTGGGTTGGTCTAACAAGACGAACATAGAGAAGGATCTATTTCTACATACGACAGTTAACAGAGATTATACTGCGCTGTCACATGTATTATGCTTTATGACATATCAAATATAATGGGTGTAGTACGACACCTGAGTGTATAGTATGGGGATGGAGTTCAATGGTGTGTATTACAGCGTGATGCAGATCTACAATCGTGGTGTATTGGTGATGGTGTGTAAGCAGGAGTGTTAGGTACACATTTGATTATCTGTTGCGCATGATTAATAGTGAGTCGACAGTCACATGCATATCATCAAGACTGTAGCACACACTCAGGATTATACAGTATTTTTAACTGATATCATGACTCACGTAAGTACAGGTGTGTATGTTCAGACTCTCAGGATACACAACACATCATGATCTAGTGATATTTCACAAGTAGGGTAAGCGTGTGTGTGGAGTGTTTATACATCTCGTATAGATGTATAGATTCACACAGCTATGTGCGGTAGAGTGTGGTGAGTAGTACATAGTTGTATATTTCTTTCTTTTACATTCATGATTGATTGGGTGGGAGTTGCGGTCTGGGAGGAGCACATCACACTGTTGGTTATCGCGTGTTACAATAACAGTAATAATAGTTGTACTGGACACTCAATTAGGCGTGGCAACACACTACAGAATGATTGAGGTGCGTATTATGCGCGAGCGTGGTTCAGGGTTAGATATTGAGGTGTACATGTATATTCTAGGTAGATTTACGTGACAATAGATGTAGCAGATAGTGGGATCGGGGATTAATTCCACAGCACCAATGACACACACATCAAAACAGTTACGGATCTTATGTGTAAGTGGAGAGGTACATATAGCACTATGTGTGTACACTAGATGACTGTAATTAGAGATGATATAGTTACTGGCACACAGGTTGCGGTCGATAGACATCAGTTTAGAGTGACTCAGACACGGCTGTTTGTGCTAGTAGTCACAGACAATAGAGATATGAAGGACTGGTGTCATCATAAGGGGGATGATAATACGACATTAGAGGAGTAGTGATATAGATGAAGTAACATGAGGGTTATGTGAACAGCATCTAGACATAGAGATATCATTCACAGAACACAAGAGATGTACTTTCAACACGTATCAGGTAGAACGTTATGATTCAACTTAGGGTGAAAGAGACACTAGTCATGGGGTCACTGGGGGATGTCATTAGTGTCTTTTAGTTATTATTATAGTTGTGTGTGATCAACATGGACAGTAGCATTAGGATAAGTATATATTATCTTATAGGAGTTAGTGGAATATATTCAGGATCTTGTGTGTCTGTATGAGGGGGGGGGGGGTTTGGGGGGGGGGGGGGGGGGGATTTGGGGGGGTAGGGGGGGGGGGGGGTGGGGGGGGGGGTCACAGATATTTGTGATATATGGTGGAACTTTGGCTATGAGGGTAAGAAGTGTCTGGAGAGAAGGTGGGGGAGAATTTGGTAACATTGAGGTGGAGTCAATAAAAATGATGTGAGATGTTAGATGTGAGAGTATAGATACGGGTAGTGATATTGTGTCAAGGAGATGATGGACTACTGGATGTTAGAGATGTAGGATAGATGAGGGAGAGGTGGTGGTGCGAGGGGGAGACATGGGAGGTTTTTATTATAGTGGATGGTTGGATTGCTAGTGTAGGTTCGAAGCAAGTGGAGAGGAGTGTGTGGGTATTGAAGTTATGACAGTGGGGGACTACTGTGGAGACTAGTGTGTAATGATTTATATATGTGGGAGGTGGTGTATATCTCTAGTTGGAGGGGGGTGTTGTGTTTAGGTAATCTAGAATGGTAGTTGTGTGTTTCACACAGTGGTCTATCACATGTGTGTACAAGGTACAGGATGGAGTGAGAGGTTATGATTTGTGGAGTGAGTAGTGTGGGTGAGTGAGGAGTGTATCCAATGAGTATATTGACTGTTATTGGGATGCTTAATTAAGATCACCAAGAGATCACAGATTAGCTGTACACAGGAGTGGATTTATATGTATGTGTGCTGGGATAATGGTGGGTCATAGTAGAGCATTGGTGGATATGGCAGTTATGTGATATACTGACGGAGTCGAGTTATTGTAGGTTGTTGTGCAGACACAGTGCACTCATAGAGATGGACTCACAGGATATGGGATGGAGATGAGTGGAGGTTAGTCTTGATTTATGACATACATAGGGGGATGTAGTTCTGTGACTAGTTGTGGGGTCTTGATGTTCTGGGGTTGTCTTGAGGTAGATGACTCTGCAGAGGAGTATGGAAGTGGAAGAGTTCTAGTAATGGACAGATGATTGATGATGATGACATTGGAGAATTGAGAGTGTAAGAGATGAGGTGATTCACATGAGTTTAGAGTAGTGAGAGCACACCATTATGAGCGAGGTGTTGGGGATATGAGTGACTTATAGTGACAGGTGAGGAGGGCAGGTGACATGAATAACTATAGACAAGGTCAAGATATTATAGAGTGATTGTACAAGAGTGTGGATTTGAATTGAGAGCATCTATCAACGATGTTAACTACTGTGAGGGATCACAGCAGACATGGATAGAAATATGAAGCTACTGTGGTATCGTCGTGGATACAGTTACAATAGATTAACGGATTGATGACATGCGCGCGAGATAAAGTTTATATCGCGTGGACAGTGGAAGATGCTGAGATTAGAATACATGATGGAGATATTATCTGACATTGTCAGACTAGTTTAGTGCAGGCGGCAGTTGAGCACAGCAGGACAGTGTATTGCGCGATTCACACAAGGATTTGTGACATGGTGGGGGATGAACATACTTTGACTCAGATCTGATATAGAAGAATAGAGTGAGCGGGGTGAGTTATCAACAGATTTAGAGTGTGTACATCAGAGTCCTATACATACGAGATATTTGAGAAACATATTGAGTGCACTGTCACAGATTGCATACGAATTATCTAGTTTAGAAACATGGGCAGGACTTTGACACAGAGTTCATCCAATAATGGTGAGAGAGCGGCGTGGTGTGAGATGGACGAGATCATTTACTAATGTAAACATACTAAACACAATGACAAGATGACATCACAGATCGAAGATAACTGAACAAACGAGTAAGCTAGAGTACAAGACCAGTATACACAGTATCTGAGCGGAAGTGATCAACTAGAGCCGAGAACAGATAGCAAGAGCGAGAGAGAGAGTAGAGAAAACATAGAGAGTGGCTAAGAGTGGTTGCAAATAGATCTCGACTTAAAGCGCATACAAATCTCTGAGATGGAGTCTGATATGATGGACACGCGAGTGAGGGACTCTGATATTGGTGGTCTGCTTGAACCATACAGAGTGTAACCGTATGAGACGTATAGAAAAGGACATACTTCTGATCATTAGCATAGGAAACTATACACGCGTTACTAGAACCAAACTAGAGTGAGAGGGATATGTTCATCTATTAAATCTTTACTCGCCAAGTAGATACATCTGGATCAAGTAGGCTGATCGGGGCGTGGTCGGAGGGGTGCGAGACTCAGTTGAGGGGTGGTGCACGGTCTTAAATTACGGACGCAAGCAAGTGTATACTTCAAATCTTCCAGTGATGATGGAAACACCATAGACAGTTATAGTAACAAGGGGTGCAGACAGTTAGCGAGACATCAAGAAAGAGAATCTTAGCAAAGAGTAGATTATGTAATATCAACCACTGTATGGTAAGAGGGATCATTGCACTAGAGTAGTTAGGACGTACTATGGCGATGGGTGTTCTCGTCAATTACAACGTGACATCTAATGCTACATTTATCTCATAAAAAAAATAAAAAAGACACATCTGACATAATCAGCTACGACACACAACAAAATCGAGACCGATAAGTATGTTCTCACACGCCGGAAGAATTATGCGTGCACGGGAGTGTAATAAGGAGACGTAATACATGAGTGGCGTGTGTGAGTAGACTAGGCGATAACACTCGTCTACAGGGAGGTGTCACGAAAGTCTAGGATATTAGTCACTGCGAAGACTTTAAAGACACATGCGAGAGAACTAGATCAAGATCAACTGTGATTTACACACAAGTCTGACAAATTATCAAGAGTAGGTGATAAATGTATGATGATGTTAACAGCTTGAAATAGGTTTGTTAGTTCGCACAGAGTTACAGATGGACAAGAGCGGGTTGATCTCACATTATTGTTTAGAGTGGTTATATGTCACGAAGATAGTAATATAGCGGGTGATTGAAATAGAGAGTATATCATGTCATACAAGTAGTAGCGTCGAGTAATGGAGTATGAGTGCAATCTCTGAAGTGGATGGTGAACCGTGGTAGGCAACTACACATGACGTTAAAGTATCTAATGTGTGATGAGACTAGATGGAGCGTGCAAGCGTTACATCTCAACAGCTTGAATATATAGACGATAGTCAGGAACTGTAGTTGTGAAGACAATAACTGTGGATTATATATGCACATTCAATTCAAATACGTAGACATTTCGGTGTGCATGCACAGTATACATGGATGTCACTCGGACTCTATATCAAAGAATGTTATACGCAAGAAATAGCAAATACACATGACACGAGAAGAAGTACACACATTGTCAGTCACATTAGAGGTGCAATAACAAGGTACTAGCAAGAGATGTCGATAATGTTGTAACACAGACGAGATGTTATAAAGTTGAACCGAGAGAGACATACACACCATAAGATCTAGTGTTCGATACACAAAAGAGTAGACACATTTTGTCGTCATGAGCAGGCGATGAGTGCACAGGTCTATCGAGTGGGAGTAGTAGATCGTGATGTGGTTTATTTACGTCAATGACACTGACATTATAATATGGTCAACAACGAATTAAGGAATGCTGATGCACGAACAACTCTATGCAATGATACGGACATGTACAACAGAAATGCTTAAATTAAAAGGAGACGTACTGAGCACTACGGTTAATGTCTCACAATGATGTTGAATACAGGGGAAAGTCATACTGTATAGTTATAAGAACTTCAAGATACGGCAACTGAACGTTCATGCAATTTCTTTTCGTAGGTGAATTGGCGAGTATTGTGGAGTGAGCCCAAGAGCAATACGGTACAGGAGAAACATGCTCAAGGTCAAGCGGAATGTCGAGGACACACGACAGAGAGATGTCGTCCATATAGCGATGGCAAAGTTCAAAAAGGCCGCGATCCATCCGATCATGTACACGGGATGGAGTTTAATAAGCTCGTATTTCTCGCGCACCATGTTAGAGTCGCTAACACGGTCCCAGACGGCGAATCCCATAGCACGACCAGGCCTCTTTTATCAGTAGTAAGTTGCCAAGCATAGGAATTGATTTGCAAGGAGCGCAACCGTAAAGGAGTGCTTTTCAAGTCACGCGAACGGTGATGTCACATACTTTTTTATTTTTCTTCACATGGTAAGAGCAAACACGTTACACTAGTCCGCCACTCGCGTAACAGACGACAGAGCAGCAGGAATCTACGGCTCACGAGATTATCACTTCTCTACGGAGCTCATAGCCTCCCACTAGGAAATACAGGTGATCTATATCACACGTACCTTCTGCATCATACTCACACACATCAGTGCACCACAGACGGCTTGACCCAATACATGTAGTTCACAACACACGCTAGAGAGGCGAGACAAGGCCACCTCCTTTACTACCAGTCGAGAGTGCTTATGCGACACCTCTCGACGAGCGGCCTGTGACTATCTGCTCTGAGCAGCCGAACTCGCAATGCAGTACAACGGCGACGAGGTTCTTCAATACATCGAGCACGAATAAGATGAGACACATTGCACACAAGATAGACTGCCACTTCCAGGATTTAGTGCAAGTCTCAGAGCTACTTCTGAGTGACACGGAGGCAAAAGACTATATCAGCGATCTTCACGAGGGATGCTCACAACATAGTCAGTAAGATCAGTAGCACAAACAAACACCAGAGAACTCACACCAATCTGCATCGTAGTGATTCAGGCGTACACAGAAGTACACTCTCTGTATTACACAGAGTAGACAATGCAATCTCTACACCGCACATCTCAGACTTGCTTACCTTCGACGTCTGTTCATTTATTCGTCTCTCATGATTGGCATTGTGGGTATCACAACAGAGCTCTTTAGTGCTAAGTCTAGTCATCGTGATAATAGCGATACCACACACACACGCAAACATTCAGATATACTTGTCTATTGACACCTGAGAGAGAGTCACTATATCTGCAAATTCTTCAATAATATTTGCTGATGCATCTTATCTCATCTCACCTAATTTCTCTTATCACTGTGACATAGCATCTCGGGGGTGTTATGATATTTCGCTAGGGTACATGTAGGATATTAGAGTGGTGGGGGGATGTGTGAGTGAGGGGAGGTGCGGGGGGGATGATTTTAATGAGCAGTGACATACTAGCCATCAATTAGACTCTCTTCTAAATGGATCTTACTGATCTTTCGTAAGCTACACACTACATATACTAGAGCTCAAGTCTATTGGTGGTGCAACTATTTATAGGTAGCGTGAGAGTCAATATAGACTAGTCTTCTTAGAGACTAAATGTGTCGACAGATGCAGGTGCATGACGTTTTCCGAGCAACACATGCAGGAAGTGTCGCAGAGGTTTTTGTTAACTGTGCCGCGGAAAAGAAAAAGAATGGCGCGGCATCTTGCTCTTAATAGCAGAATTAGTGGACGGTTTCTATTCTATCCGGTGCAACCTGAACAACAAGTGGATCTCAGCTAACCACTTGGCGTGTTGACGTACTCAGCGTCCAACTAACCTCATAGGGGCTACAATTAACAACGCTGATTCTACGAACACACAGCCAAATTACACAGGCGAGGCTTATAAAAGCAGAAGAGCTCCAGGTTACAAGTATCTACTACTACGTGCTGCGGAATACGACACTAGACCACAGACTGCTAGATGCAAGAGTGAGGAAACTTGTCATGAGCGCTTGCAACAATCTATTCTATTATCGAGTCATTTCAATTTAAAGAGAGAGAGTATGAGATTGAATTGTTATATATATATCTCTCTATATGTTTGTAATCAATAACTAAGGTGCTAAAATAGAGTGATTCTGCGAATATAGTTAGGTCTGCAAAACTTCTGGATACTGACACGCTAACACTACACAATCATATAACTAGTCAGCCGAATGGATACGTGTATAGTCGAAGTCATCTGCATTGTGAGTTAGATGCAAAAATTACTATAACGATGATAAGTACACGCATACAATTGACAGAGAGTATAATCAGTCGAAATATGAGAACACAAGATTAGGAACTAGCAAGTGATGTGTATCAAGATAGTAGTCATAGTTTAAGTAAACATGTAGATTCATGGAGTGGCGGAGTGTATAACTATGAGTGAGTCCACATGTGAGGAGTTGTACTTTTAATGGGAGAGGGTTTTGGTATGGGGGGGTGGTGGGTTTTTTTTTGTGTTTGAGTTTTTTTAGATATGGAGGGGTTGGTGGGGTGAGAGAGATTATTATTATTAGTGGTGAGTGGGGATTAGTCTTGAGAAGAAGTTATAGTCAAGTATGACTATGTTGATGTGAGTGAGACTGCGGACACTTGGTTATATAGTGTATCACATATATATTAGGTATGCATCAGGTGGTGCAACACAACTATAGGTGAAGGGATTGTGGAGATGGTTGCACATAGGAGAGATGGAGGCTAAGTATGATTACATGGGAGGTGATGCGATGGACTGGGAGATGGGATTGTTGATGGGGTTAATATGGACGGGGGGGTGCATGATGGGAGTGTCGAAGTGAGTGAGTATGGTGTGATTGGAGAGTATTATTCATAAGGAGGTGGGAGGTTGTGATGGTGACACTATGAGTTACTCTGTTGAATTGACACACATGACACAGTCATAGTGTGTGTACACAATAAGTACACATTAAGGAGATGTCTTGTGGGACATGTGAATGACTTTAGTGATATGGGATACAGGAGTACAGAGGTGGTGTGAGGTTGGGGGTTGGGTGAGGATGGAAGGGTTGGTTTGAAGGGGGTTATAGGGGTAGAGGGTATGTCTATTAGACGGATGGTGTGGAACATATGTCACTGTATGTGTTTAGGAGGAGATATGAGTGGTCTTTGGTATGTGATGTTAGAGGTGTCACTTGTGAGCAGGATTCTGGGTGTGAGGGTTGATTGATCGTTTTAATAGGTCTGTGAGTAGGGACTGATTGGACTAATTTGGGGTGAGTGAGGGGTATATTTGAGAATTGGGTGGAAGTATAGGGGAGGTGAGGATAGATTGTGCGGTTCAGGCATGGAGGTGATGGAGGCTTGGGACGTGGTCGTCACGACATATTAGAAGTGAGAGAGTGGACTCAGAGAACACTAGATGGATAGGAGGGGGTTGGTGAGAGAGTGATGGATGCGAGACACTGACGTCACATAGGCAGAGTAGGTTGATCTGATCACAGTACATACACTTTAGAGTATTTTAGCGTTCTCAATTTCAGTAGGGTGGAGTCACTTAGGAAGAGAATCTGGGGTTGGTATGTAGGGGGCGTGGACAGGACAGTAGTCATGTTGTTCAAAGTGTTTCTAAGAGGTGTTCTGTTACTACAGATGGAGTATTTATATACAATTATGAATGTTTCATAGTGCGACATTGATGTGGAGACAGTATAGATACACTATAATTATATATTGAAGGAGATTTGGGAGAGATGGTGAGGGATGATGTCATCAATGGGGTAATTACACACTTATGCGTTAGCTGAATGTAGGACCATGGATATATTAGTCAAGTAGTGTCACAGGTGTAAGGGTCTAGGTATATATATATGTGCGGACACTGAATATGGAATTTTGTTTGAGAGGATAGATATGCAAGTGAGACACACAGGTAGAAAAGTCAGATTGTGTGAGAGTGTAGAGCGGTAGGCTAGGGTGGGGACACAGTAGTAGTGTACTGACATGAGTATTGTGAGGATAGGGGACATGTTCATATGGTCATTTGGGAAGGATCAGAGGACTAAGAGTTCATACACGAGAATGGTGTGTAGACTCTCTGGAGACGTGAAATACACATGATATATTCATGTACAGTCGGATTATGAAGTTACAGGTTAGATTTACAGGTGATAGATCATAACGCACACACAGTGAATATATATGTTTGAGAGGGTGAGTGTTCTTTGGAAGGTAATAGGTGGGAGTGGTGGGGAGAGGGGGAAGTGTTGAGGGGGTGAGAGGCGAGGAGTGGGGCAAGGGGAGTGGTGCGAGGGGGAGTGGGTGGGGGAGTGGTGGGGAGTGGAGCGAGGGGAGGGTGGGTTGGTGGGGGGGGAGACGACATGGGGAGAGTGGAGAGAGGGGGGAGTGATTGGAGGAGAGAGGGGAGTTTGGGAAGGGCGTGAGTGATGGGAGTTGGGGGTTAGAATGGATACACTGAGATATAATGGTGTAAGACGAGTAGTTGGAAGGATGGTTTTTTTAGGAAAAGTGTTAGGACGTGGGGAATTCAATATGTGAGATGTGACAGAGATGGAACTTTCTACACAATGGGGATATGGAAGACATATAGTGAGAGTACAGTGATTGTAGATTCTGCTAAGGAGAGATTAGGAGGCGACGTTAGGAATGGAAGGAACAAGTATTACTCAAATTGTGGCGTTGAGTAGTCAATGACTTAGGTTGGGGTATTACACAGAAGCGATCGTGTATATATGTTGATATAGCGCAGTATGAGAGGAGTTTTGTAATTGATCTGACATGAGTTTTTGTAGTGATTGATGAAAGGCTGTGGATTAGAATGTAGCGTTATGTGTGGGATATCTTACTAAAGCGCATCAGAATTAGGTGATTATGGATGTACATTAGGGAACAGTGAGGAAGAGTGAATCTGACTATGCTGGGCACTATGTGACACAGGTTTTATATCATACAAGACTTATACAACAAGATTGCAATTACGTATAGATCGTTCTTATTATTTATCTTTCTGCAGAGAGGAACGACATCGAAGGGATATACAATATGTGCATTCTAACATGAGAGAAGGAGAATCATATAGTAATGATGAAGAGTAACTGGGGGCGAGTAGGATTATAGTGTTGGTCTGGTCACACATAGGATGTAGAGAGTGACTCTAGAGGTCAGAATCGATTCTATGAGAAGATTCTGCACTACTTCTGACGGAGACATGTTGCACAGAAACTCATGCTATCTTGGTCGTATACTAGAGAGCGAGTGTCCTTATGTATGCAATGCATTCTACTTACTTGCGGAACGAGGTCAAAGGCTGTGGAGTGGAGGGAGTACGATGACGATTCGAATCGCACTTGCGAGATGCTCGATCATATAATATAAGTGCTCGCTACTCACTACATAGAGTGTTGGAGAGTGAGAGCAGTCACTAGAGAGCAAATCACTCTAATGAAAATGCTTGAGTGAACTACAGTAGAGGCCTTTGTAAGTTCAACATTTAGCTAGACTGAGACAAGAATGGAGCGTGGAGCAACAGATTTCAGTGATTTGAAGGTCTCAGCGTGGCTAGCACAGTCCGACGAATGAGAGGCACTTATGACACACATGAGATATCTTACACAGTAAAGCAGATAGTGAATTCATGGAGCACGACTACAGCTACACAATACACAATGACAAATGGGCAGCATATTGAAAGTGATAGAAGAGAATTCTATTGACATACACTACGAATGCACAAGTTTATGCTAGCAACTCAGACATGATACGTGCTGTTAACATAGATAGTGAGTCATTGCACATACAGATAAAATATGACGAGAGCAACACACATAGGGATATGTAGAACAGTATATAGTAGGTGCAACAGTCTGATATTCGTTTCACAACGGGATGGTGTCGAGTCATATATGGGAAGTAGGGTGGAGGGGGGGGGGGGGGATGGAGGAGGAGTGTTTAGGTGTTAGTAGGGGGGTGCGGGGGGGGGGGGGATGTGTTTTTGGAATTTAGTGTATGATGATGTATGTATCGAAGAAATAATTTAATTATATATCTCTCTAACTCATGTACCTATCTCTATATCTGTCTATTATAATTAAATGAAGCACGATAGAACAGAAATCTCTCTATTATTGTGGGGTGTGGGTGGGAGTTGGTATTTGGGGTGATCTAGGGAGTGGGGGGGGGGGAGGGGGGGGTAGG